TGCAAACCCATTTAAGGATTGTATCCACAAACCTCAGTGAACTCTCCACTTTTGCTGTCTCTGCCAACTGTCCCTGTCTGTTGAGACTTCCTGTCTTTCTAGGATCATCCACAAACATGGCTACACAGAGCAGGAGTGCCGAGAGTACAGATCTGTGGTTTACAGCAACACTCTGCAGTCTATGCTGGCGATTGTGAAGGCAATGTCCACCCTTGGGATCGAGTATGGAAATGCACAAAGGAAAGTGAGTATGAAATCTAGCACTGCACTGCCATAAAAAGCCCAGCAGCCTGGCCAGGAAAGCAGGGACGACACAACTGCCACACCACTCTGGGGTGCAGCCCTGGTTTCTGTTAGCATTGGTATGGAAGCTGCCCTGCTTTGTTTAAAGGTGGTATAAATTAGGAAAGGATTCACACATTACAGAGAACACAGGTTGAGTCCCACATCTTGTGTCATGATCACATGTCATTTGTTTGCTGTTCTTAATTTTGGCATGTTCAGTGTCTGATTCAGATCACAGTTGTAATGCACATGGAGAAGGGGCTTAGGTCTTCCAATGCTACCCACTTTGATAACGTTATACACAAAACGAGATATAATATGCATATTTCATTGGTGTTGGTGGCATTTGAATTGCTTCCAGTAAACTGAATATTGGAAAAAGAAATGTCTAGTCTTTGGAGACTTTTTTGGCATAATACATCACGGTTGTTTGCTTCTTCTCAAAGTCCAAAAGAATGCCTGCATGGTTAACACTGCAAGTCAAAGAAGCTATCAAAAGTGAGGCTTCTGTTAAAAATAGAAGGTCTGCCCCAATGATTTGAACAAAAGGGACCACAGGCTCTGGCAAAATAAATGTAGATCAATAATTAGGCATGCAAAAAGAGAATTTGAGGATGCTAAAAGCATCAAGACAAACACAAAACATTTGTAATATATCCAGAGCACAAAAGCAGTCAGAGAAGCAGCAGGGCCTTTGGATGACCAAGGAATTAAGGGATTCCTAAAGAAAGATGGGATAATAGCATAGAAGCACAATGCTTTTTTAGAAAGTGTGAGGCATGTACCCATGCCACAGCCACTATTTTCAGGAAAGGAGTCTGAAGAACTGAGTCAAAATTATTCAGGTGGGTAGCCATGTTGGTCTGGAGCAACAGAACAAAATTTGAATCCAGTGGCATCCTTAAGACCAACAAAATTTAATTCTGGGTATAAACGTTTGTGTGCATAGACAGTTCTTCAGATACACTGAAACAAGACTTCCTCAACTATTACATATAGGTAGAGGGGGGGTTAGTTGCTAGGAAGGGCTAATTAGAGTCAAGATGCATACGTAACTGAGAGATACGTATAGCTAAGGTTGTATTAAAGCAGTTGGTAAGACCTGTGAATAGCATTCCAGTCTGTTTCTGAAATTCCTTTACAAAAAAACAACTAGTTTGAGGTCCCCCACTGGATGCCCTGGGAGGCTGAAATATTCTCCTACAGGTTTCTCCATTTTGTGATTCTCGATGTCTTGAAAAAGGCAAACTCTTTGTTAGGGATTATTAGGAACAGAATTGAAAATAAAAGGGCTGATATTATAGATCAACGGTGAAGCCTCATTTGGAATACTGTGTACGGTTCTAGTCACTGTGTCTCAAAAAGGTCATCACAGAGCTGGAAAGAGTACAGAAGAGCACAACCAAGATGATTAGGGGATTGAAGCACCTTCCCTATGAGTCCGGGACTTTTCAGTTTAGAAAAGAGGTGAATAAGGGGGAACATGATAGAGGTTTATACAATTGTGCGTGGGATGAAGAGAGTTGATAAAGATAATTTTTCCTCCCTTTCTCAAAATACTAGAACTTGAAGGTCTCCAATGAAGCTGATGGGCAATAGATTCAGGATGAATGAAACATTTTTACACAGAGAGTGATTAAAATGTGGAATTGCCACCAGAGAATGTAGTGATGGCTACAGGCATAGACAGCTTTAAAAGGGGATTAGAAAAAATCATGTAGGAGAGGTCTATCAGTATCTGCTAGCCATGGTGATTAGAGGGAACCTCTGTGTTTAGGAACAGAGGGGATGGCCTCGGCCTCTATGCTCTATATGCTGTCTATGCTCTATGCCAGTGGTAGCAAACCTATGGCACGGGTGCCAGAGGTGGCACTCGGAGCCCTCTCTGTGGGCACGCGTGCCATCGCCCCAGCCAGGCCCAGACCATCATTAAAGTGTCGAATTCTCTTCCAAATAATTTTAAGTAAATGAAAGCATTTGGGATTGCTTTCCTTACTTTGTTTGGATCATCTTAAGTTAATGTATGAGTTGTTTTTTCTAAAGTAAAACCTCGGTATTCAGGTTAAATTGCCGTGTTGGAACTTTGCGATAAATAAGTGGGTTTCGGGTCGCAGTTTGGGCACTCGGTCTCTAAAAGGTTTGCCATCACTGCTCTATGTTGTACCTCCATACTAACTGGTAGGCCGTGGTGTAAAACAGGATGCTGGACTAGATGGACCACTGGTCTGATCCAGCTCTTCTTATGTTCATTTATTTCATAAGTAACCAAAACCCCTCTTCTTCCCAGACATTAAAACAAAATTTATATTCTAGGAACTACTTCTACATTACCTGGTTAGCACTGAGGGCCAGAGGAGATGGGACACATGTACCTAGCTCCAAACAAGAGTTTCCTTTTTGATACGTAGGGTGTGGGACTCTAAATCAAACTGGAACCACAATGCTGGGGAAGAGAGGTTTCAGCCTCCACAGTTATTTTCCTGCAGGGCTGCTCTTTACCCTGCCAAAACAAACATACAGATTCATGATGGGGAGCTGTATCAGAGCAGTATGTTTGTAGGTAGAGTTGCCAATCTACAGGTGGGGCCCGGAGTTGTTCTGAAATCACATCTGCTCTCCAGACTACAGAGATCAGTTCCCCCTGGAGGAAATGGTGGATCAGTTCCCCCTGGAGGAAATGGTGGCTTCCAAGGGTAGACTATGCTATACCACAGAGCCTAGGAGAAACAAGTCCTTTACTAGCCACCTCCTCTAATAATAAATCTCCATGAATTGCCCAAGCCAATGTTGACAACTCTGTGTGTCAAACAGAGTGAAACGTAGCTGTTTGATGGTTGTGGGATCAAATGGGATGGGGTTGCCAATCTCCAGGTGGGGCCTGAAGTGCCCTGGAATAACAAATTGGGGAATTTCAGACAGGCGCTATGTCCCGGTAGGGAACCGATTCTCAACCGGGTTGTGGTCTGTCATTTCAGACAGAACCCGGTTAGGAATCGGTTCCCTACCGGGATCTAAGTGGCATTTCAGACACAGAAGCCTCTCTTCGTATACGAACCAGGAGGGAAGCGATTTACCTGTCAACCGCTTCCGAGGAGTCTCCCGTTCCCTCTCCCGGTTCCGATACGCATGTTTCCCGCCTTTTTTCGGTCGCGCGGGCTTTTTTTTTTTTTTAAACGTTCGGCTTATAGCGATATATCGATATATCGCTATACCGGAACCTCTAAGGAGTAGCATTCCAATGGGATCGTTATTGCGACCATTTGAGGTTCTGGTATAATTTGAACGTTCGGCTTATAGCGATACTAGCAGTAAAGCCCGTTGTGAAAGCAATACAACGGGATCTAGAAAGAGGCTCTGGGGCAGTGCTCTGGCTTTGGGCAAACAGTGTCAATTTGCTGTGGTGACCTCAGCAGGGTATAATGACAGAGTCCACTGTTTTCTCCAGAGGAACTGATCTCTGCTACCTGAAGAGCAGTTGTAATTGTGAGTGATCTGTAGCCCTCACCTGGAGATTGGCAACAATTGTTACCCAGGACAAAATGGCTGGTTTGGAGGGTGGAGTCTATGGTATTCTACCTGTCTGAGGTCCCTCCCCTCTGCAAACCCCACCCTCTCCAGGCTCCACCCCTCAAAACCCCAGGAATTTGTCAGCATGTAGTTGGCAACCCCATCTCCTTCCCAGCTAGCCACCAACCTACCATTATCTGCCCCTTTGACTTCAGCTGACTTCTGCCCTCCCTTCTGCAGAGCAGTTGTAATACTGAGTGCTCTCCAGCCCTCACCTGGAGA